CTGTTCCTCTGTGTTGAAAGTTTACGCACACCTGAGGATTTATGCTGGTGCATTTTGATTCTTCTGCCCTAAAAACGAGTGCTCTGGAGGGAGGCACAAGACGGACTAGTTAGTGACTGGCTGGGACTGACTGCTTTGTTTCTACTGAAACCTGGTCCTTGACGCTGGGATTTCTGTTTTTAGGCTTGCATCTTAGAACACACTCTTGCTTCCTCGGTGCTGTTGTCTCTGCTCCACCTTGGTTCCTAGATTTTTTTTTTCCGTGCGTGTGTGGAGTGTGTGTGTGTGTGTGCGCGCGCGTGCGCGGAGTGTGTGCTTTTCTGCTGCAGCCTGTTGTTGGCTAGTGCACGAGGTGAAAACAGCCAAAACGGCCTTCAGGTCTGTCCACTGGCAAGGAGAAAGCTGGCAGTGGAAGCCCAGCTGTAGGACTTTGTCCTAACTAATCAGTGTAGGAAAGAGAGGCCGGGGAGCATTGTTCTTCCCTGTGGTTTTGTCCTAACTAATCAGTGTAGGAAGGAGAGGCCCGGGGAGCTTTGTTCTTCCCTGTGGTTGAGTCTCCTGTGGCTCCAGAGGACAACTGGGCTGGAGTAATCCTTGGTGTCTGTACTAACTTCTCCCTTTGAATCCCCAGCCGGGGAGGTGGTCGGTTAGATCCTGTTTGGAGTTCTGTGTTGGGGACACAGGAGGTTGGGGGGGTCTCAGTTCAGCTCCGCTCTGCCCCGCCTCCGGTTCCATTTGGTAAAATGAGACAGTGGGTGATACCTACTTAAGAGCTCAGAGCCCTGGGGCAGGGTCTGAAGTAAGTTGTGAAGGTAGAGTGCTATTTATGGGGGAGTAGATTTGATGGTGCGGACAGTTTTGTTGTTGTTTTTGTTGTTAAGTGATTCTTTGTAGATTTCACATATATCCCGATCCCACTCACCTCCCAGTCCCCTCACACCCACCCTCTGCCCGTGAAACTAGCCTCCCCCAAAACAAAACAAAATTTAAAAGAAAAACTAAAAATGAAACCAAGCAAACAACAAAAGAATCATCATCATCTTGATGTGGGAGCTGTAGTGTGGCCCCACACATTTTACCCGTTAGTCCACATATCTTTTCTTGCAAGTGTTCATTGCCGTGAGTCGCATTGGTCTGGTCTGAGGCCTCTGGCTTCTGCCATACTATCAATAATGGGCTCTCATTGGGACTCTTCTTGGAGATGAGTTGTTGTCCCATGTCATGGAGATCCTGAAGTTTTGGATCTGTAGGTTTGTCCCCTTCAGCAGTCGATAAACGAGGTGGATGTTGGGACCGGCCAACTCAGCCCAGGTTCTGGGCCTGGGTGGTAGCTGGCTGGTCAGTCCACCAGGTTTGTCGTCATCACTACCCAGGTGAGCTCTCCAGCACTGCCAGAGCCGGGTCATCCAGTGCAGCCTGCAGTGAGGAGCTGGGCCAGTTCTGCTCTCAAGCCCTTGGGTCTGATTTACTCGGACTCACCCACCAGGGCCAGCTCTTCCGTTTGCCCAGACAAGGTGCAGGGCCCCTCTCCTGACTGCTGTAGGAGCATGGGGAGGCATGGTCAGCTCTGCTGCTCTTACCCTCAGGGCCAGCTCACCGGCATCCCAGACAACAGGGTCAGCTCTCTACTGTTCTGTTCAGACTGCGTGCAGGGTCGCTCTCCTGTGTGCTGCAGCCTGTGAGGGACAAGGCTAGTCATCCCACTCCGGTGACTCCAGGACTAGCTCTCCTGCCTGCTGCTGGTGGCAAGGGATGGGGGGGGTGCCTTTCCCTTACCCATGCCATAGTATGGTAGGGGTGGAGAGAGGCTCTCCTGCCTCAGGGCCAGCAAACCTGCACCCTAATCAACAGGGTCAGCTCTGCTGTGCTGCCCAGGTGGGGTGCTGGACCTGCTTTCTCACTCTAAAGACCTGGAGTCGGCTCTCCCAGGCATCACAGACAGTGAGGACTGTGTGGGGGGTGCAGGGGAGGTTGGCTGTCCCTCGTGCGGACAATTTCATAAAAAGGTGATAACCCAAAATTATGATGTGTGGGAGATTTTTGAAATTATTTACATAGGCATCATGTCCAAGAGCAATCAGAAACCCATTTACAGCTAATTTTGAAATTTAGAGAAGACCCTCTCTACCAGGTTACTTGGCTCTATGAAAGTTACTTTTGGAGAAACAACTCATCTACTAAAAAGAAGGCATCTCTGTTTCATTTCCAAGAGTGCAGACAGTTTTCAAACCATGTCTGTGTAATGTTTTCTTCCATAACAACATTCGTCAGTCAGCAAAGGGAAATCTGTCTCTATGAGATGGAAATAATCAGTTCAACTGCCCCCCCCAACCCTGTTACAAAAGTCCCCGGGGACTAATTAAGTATGGCTTCACTTCCTCTCTGCTTGGGGTAACTGTCAAAGGGCTTGAGATTAGTATTGATTCTATTTTCCCAAGGTCAGACTTGACCATACAGCCGTGGCTTCTCTAGATGCCATCCAAAAGATTGTCGCTTCTTGTGCAGCTACTTTTCCTTGCTCAAAAATAGCTGGGATTTAGATGGGCGGGGCGGGGCTCGGCTCCCCAGTTTTCCTGCTTTGCCCTTGGCCCAATAGGCTCCAGGCTCCTGCATCTCTGAGTAAAAGTGTCAACTTCCGTGTTTTACATGGATTTAGACTTTAGAGACAATTTTGGAAATGAGTGTATGCCTTTCATTTTTGAGGCTAAAAAGCTTGTTTTCTTTGTGATGCTAAGGATTGAATCCAGGCAATTGTACATGCTACAGACATTCTTTACCACCGAGCTGTATCCGTAGCCTGGGGTTTTGCAGGGATGGGGGTCTTTTATAACCCAGGCTGGTCTTGAACTCCCTATCCTCCTACCACAGCTTCCTGAACGACAGGATATCATGTATCCTACGCGCACACACAATCACATCTTTGCGACAGGGTGTCACTTTATCGTTCTGGCTGTCCAGGAATTCACTATATACACAATACTGTCCTCTAACTCACATAGATCCACCTGCCTCTGACTCCCAAGGGCTAGGATTAAAGGCGAGCACCACTATGCCCTGCTCTAGCTAAATGTCTTAAGTTAGATTGCTGGGGCTAGCTTTTAAAGTTTGCAAGCATAAGTACTCACAAGTGTACACCAGGCATCTATTCTGTGTTTGCTTGGCGCACAAGCTTTGAAAACAGCTAATGGAATACTTGAAGACAAGGGTCTAAGTGGTAGATTGTATAAACTGAAAGTTAGTGGCACACACCTTTAATCCTGGCACGGAGCTCCGTGACAACACGAGACCGTGTCTGGCAGCTGGCAGCACAGGAAACCTCCATGGTCACTTATTCTTAATCGTGGATGGCCCTCTGCTTTTGGTTTGGCTTTGTTTAGTTGTCAGATGAACAAAGCAGTGAGTAGACTTCTGGCAAAGAAGCAACAAGGCCGACCGAAGATGGGCAACAGCCAGCGCAAGTGGCCCTGTGACTCCTCCATGCTCTGAGAAACCAGGGAAAATCCATAGCCTAAAATTGGGGGGGGTCTTATTCCCCCACCACACATGTGTAGTACGTCCCAGCAGGTGACAAAGAGCCCTCTGAGAGCCCCTAATGCAGTGTTTATGTGTGCACCCTTCTAAAAAAGAATTCAGGAGTCTCTCCACCAAATCACTGCTCTCTTAAGAGCCCAGGCCATTGATCTGAACCAAAGCCATTGATATGAGTGTGGAGTGTAGCCCAGCTGTTGCACACAGCACTGTAAACAGCAGAAGATTCCTGCACAGCTGCAGGCTGATGTCACCTTCTGGGGCCTGTCCTGCCCTGCCCTTGGGTTGTTGGAAGTAACAGTAGTAAGCCGTCCACCCCTTCATCTGATCTTCATCTTTCGGGTTTTCCCCTCCTGTCTGTTCCCTCATCACTGGGCTCGCAGTAGCCGCCAGCAAAGCTGCACATTGTTTACACTACTGGTTTTTGTGTGTTTAAACAGAGCAAGCAGCCCTACCCAGGGGTCAATGGGAGAGGATTTCTGTATATCCTATTTGATTCTAAACACCGGCATACTGTAATTATATATTCAAACTGACAGTAGTCTGATTATAAGCACATGTGCGAAACTCTGGCCAGTGTAGTGGATAAAAGTGCCCACAGTAGATGTAGGTTCTGTTAGAATGCTATGGTTCATCACCAAGATGCTCGTGTACTGTGTGCCCAGACACCCGTGTGCAAAGGTGCTTGGGTCTGATGTGAGTGTTTGGATGAGCTTGGTCATGTTTGCTAAGATTAAGGTTTGCTAGTTAGAGTTACATTGGACATCTTGAATCTTTTTTTTTCCTAGATAAAAAGCTTAATAAAAAAAGATATAATTGTGAAAAGGGTATTTTTGGCAATTAAGAAAGCCATTGTCATTAATTAAATCATTTTCTGTGACGGCCCCTGTCTCCTGACTTTCCTCTGCCATTTTGCCTCTTCCCTCCAACACTTCTGCTTTGTGGATTGGTTTGGTTGTGATTTTTGTCCGTCTGTCTGTGGTTTTGTTTTGAGATAGGCTTGCTATGCAGCCCAGGCTGGCCTCAAACACAAAGATCCTGCTTCAGCCTCCCGGGAACTGGAGCTGCAGGCATGCAGCAAATGCCACCACACTTGACTCTTTTTCTTACATGTGTGTGAAATCGCAGAGAGAAAAGGTTTGGGGGGGGGTCTCAGTCCAGCATCTGATGACCCCATTCCTTTATGCCATCATGGCAGGGAGAGCCCACAGCTGAGGAAACTGTTTATCTCCTGGCTGGGAAATTAAATCAAGGAAAGGACAGCATCCTGGTGTACCTTTTGCAGCGGTGTGCCCCAGTGACCTAAGGTCCACCGCCCTGCAGTGGCACGTGGCCTTTGGCGGACATTTCTTTAACTACAGTGCTGCTCGCAGGATAAGTTGAAATGGCGTTGTGTTTATGCGATAGTGTGCAAATGCGCATTTCAGACACTGAGCACATTTGGAGGTTCTTCGCTTTTACATCCTTTTCAGTGGCTGCTTCAAGCACCTGCGAGAAGCTAGAAAAGGCTAGGAATGACTTACAAACAGCGTATGAAGGATTCGTCCAGAAACTAAACCAGCAACACCAGACAGACCGGACAGAACTGGAGAACCGGCTGAAGGAATTCTACATGGTGGAGTATGAGAAGCTTCGAGACATCTACAGCGAGGAGGCAGAAAAGTATAAAACCCAACTGCAAGAGCAGGTCGGTGGACCACTGGGCTCCTCCGGGCGTGGCTGTCTGCTTGAGTCGTAGATGCTGTCTACGTTCCCAATGAGTTTTCCCTGGCCTTTTAATTTAATTGGGGAAAGCTTTTTGGGATGCTTATGATGAAACAGTGTTGAGTTAAAGCCGGGAGAAGTAGCCGGGCACAGCGGTACATCCCTGTGATCCCAACACTTGGAAAGAGGAAGCAGAAGAATGAAGGAAGGCCTGCAGAATCCATGCTGCAGAGAAAATTCCATTTTCAACCTGGGTAACTTAGTGAGTCCTTGGCTGAAATAAAAACCAAAAACAGAGCCATACCTGGTCTCAGTGATACAGAAGTGATGAGTTCCTGGATTCAGCCCCCAGTGTGCAAAAAAAAAAAAAAAAAAATCCAACCAAACAACAAAGTCTATAATCCTACCAGCTAGCTACTTGGAGAGGCTGAAACAATAAGACTCCGTCTCAAGATAAAAGTTAAATGGAGGGCCAGAGCTCAGGTGCAGCAAGAGCTTACAAAGTATGTTCAAGTTGAAAGCTCTGGTCCATCCCTAGTAGGACCCAAGAAAGAAGGGATAGAATATCCTCAAAATCAGTTCCCTTGGAAGCATCCTGGTGTTCTGCTACTAAGCCACTGGTTTGCACTTTTTTAAAATCCCTTTTTAATAGCCCGATTTCCCCATTAGTATCATAAACTTCCCTGCTCCCTATTTGATTTTTTTTTTAAATTTAGTTATATGCACAGTTCCTACTATGTGCCAGGCATGTGCTAGGTAAGGGCTGAGAGTAGAGGGGTTGATGTGACAGGTGTGGGGCTGAGGTGACCCTGTGAGGTGCAGCTCCACTCCTCTTGAGCTTGACAGAGCTTGGACCATCTGTCTCTCTAGGGAGGATGCAGTGGAGCTGAGGGAGGGGTAGCACACAGTGGGTTGTTGTGCACATGTGGTAGACACTCATTGGATGGGTGTAGGGACATGAATGAAATCTACTGTACGCTCCTTGATTCGTCTTAGCCGCTTCCTTTCTTGTTGGTAAGTTACTGTTTGTTTGTTCCTTACAGTTTGACAACTTAAACACTGCCCATGAAACCACCAAGCTGGAAATCGAAGCTAGCCACTCAGAGAAAGTAGAATTGCTGAAGAAAACCTACGAAACCTCCCTTTCAGGCAAGGATGCTTTTTTTTGCCACCTCAGTAGAGATGTAATGGAAATGCATCGTATTGACTAAAACGGAAATGATTGATAACCCTGCCTTGCACAGAACACCCCACAGCATTCATTTGGCAGGCCTCTTGGTTTCTTTGTGCACTGTTCGTTGCTACTGGGTGCCCTTTTCCCTTCCGGATGCAAATAGTGGTTAGTTATACATGCCAGGCCTGTAGGAAACATTCTAAAGGCCTTTTGGGGGCTGGTGGTCAGTGGTTGTTGCTTCTTTAGGTCCCAGGGAGGTCAAGGTGTCAGGTGCTAACATAGTGCTTGAGCACCCTTGTACACCCTGGCTGTGGTACGGTACAGGTGGCATTTGGTGGACAAGGACATGATATGCTGTTGTGGCCTCACCATTGTTGGGAAGCTTGAAGTCAAAAGAAGGAAGGAATGAGGCGGCTTTTTTTTTTAGGACAAAGTTGGCTGTGCCATGGGGTACCCAGCGTGAACCAGCTGCAGCCCACAGACTAGTGGGGGAGGGACGTGAGGTTGAGTTGGCTGTGTGACCTTTAGAGGGGACTGTCTCATAAGAAACCGAGCTGTGTGGAATCAGAGATGGTGGTCGACAAACGTGGCTGGCTCACATGTACCTTTAGTAAACGCTGTCTTTTCCTGCCAGGGATGGCTTAATTTTAGATTTCTGTTTTCTTCTGGAAGAGTAAATCAAAAAGAAGACAAGGGCCCCCAAATCAGAAACCAAAAGCCTGTCTTTTGAGACCCTACCCTTCATTCTGAGATTTTGAAGATTTTCTTGGCCTCTGATAGGTATCATCAGAGTTTCCAGTCTTTGAACCAGAAATCTCTGCCTTGCCTAGTAAAGCTTTTCTGCGAAGACATTGCTTAATTTATAAATCGCATCTTAATGAATTGAAAGGAGCATAGTTTGTACTTGACCAGTTTCCACATCTGGATACATCAGCTTGTGTAGTTGTGATCTCATAGGGTGTTATAACCTTAAATAAACAAAGCTCAAAAACAAAGCTCCCTTCTTTCCAGAAATCAAGAAAAGCCATGAAATGGAAAAGAAGTCACTTGAGAATCTACTTAACGAGAAGCAGGAATCACTAGAGGTGAGTAGCTCCCTCCCGGTACTGTCTGGGTGTGGACTATGCGTCTTCATACCTTTGATCCTTTCCTGGTATCTGATGCTCCACGTGTTACTGCTTGTGCCTTAGAAACAAATCAATGATCTGAAGAGTGAAAATGATGCTTTAAACGAAAAGCTGAAATCAGAGGAACAAAAGCGAATATCAAGAGAGAAGGCGAATTCGGTATGTTGTGTATTCCCCTGTTGCTACTGGATTTTCTTTTGTTCGGTTGCCATTTCGATTCAATTAATCCTTTAACAGCTAGAGACATGATTGTGGTTCTAGAGTATTCTTCATACTTGCCGTGTTTTATTTTAATTGGACAAAACGATTTTGTTCACTGATTTTCTTTTACAATCCCCCAAATTGTAAGAGATTCAAACCCAGAGGTCTGAACAACTTACCAACAGGAAACAGAGCAAAATCCAAAACTAGAAATTCTTTGTATATAAAAAAAGGAAACTGCCTTATTGTGATAGGATTACATAACCATAAACTTCAGTATTGTAGTATACTTGTGACATTGTGTGTTAGTCACTGGTATCCCAGCAATGGGAAGTGGAGGCAGGAGGATCACTGTGAATAAGTGCCATGTGAATCTAGGTTTCATAGCATAACCCTGCCTGTGTCAAAAAAGGGGGGTGGTGGGCAAAAGGAAGCCAGACAAGAGGTCAGACTGTGTACCATGAGAAATAAGTCAGAGCTCTTACTTTGTGTGTCTTCTCCAGAAAAACCCTCAGGTCATGTATCTGGAGCAAGAGCTAGAAAGCCTGAAAGCCGTGTTAGAGATCAAGAATGAGAAGCTGCATCAGCAGGACATGAAGCTGATGAAGATGGAGAGGCTGGTACGTCTCCTCCAGATGGTGGATTGAGTGCATCCTGGGGCGGGAGGGTTGCCTTGGAACTAGGGACTCAGAGCTCACGACTTTAGAGCTATGCAGCTGACCAGACCTGTCCTTAGTGATATGTGGAAAGCACACAAAGGGTCAGAGCTGCATCTTCTTTGCGAGATCTAACCCAAGTTGATTCGTTGCTGCCTTCTAGAACACTTATTTTATTGAATACATATAAAGCAGCATCTCGTTTGGGAAAAGCTATCACAAACAGATCAGGCTCACATTTCAGTCGTCTGTGAATCTCTACTGATCTAATGAAAAATTTTAGTTATATTAAAACGAATATTTTAATGTGCCCCCCCACTCTGGACAGTGATTCCTGCTTCTCGTTAAGTAGATTCTCAAGTGACTTCTTTTCCGTTTCATGGCTTTTCTTTTAATTAAACTATTGGCACAATATAATCTAGAGTTCCTTATCTTTTAAAGAATTAGAATATGGTAAAAAAAAATTAAGAGTTAATAGGATTAGCCCGATTGAAAAGCAGCAAGCATTGTTGAAACCACAAGCAGAATTTAGACTTTCTTAACTGTGTTTAAGGGGAGTGCCCCGTGTGTACTGTCAGCCTTGTACCAGTCCTGAAACACAGGGTGTGCTAGCCAGGACATGAGCCAAGCCGGCAGGGTCCGTCGGAGCAGCTTAAGTGGCCCTGGATGCTGCTGTCCTTTGCTCCCAACTGCCTGTCAGTCAGCCACCGAGCCGTCCACCCAGCGCTTCCTCTCCCCTCCACCTTCCAGCTGTGGGTAACTCATCACTCAGTGAAGAAGTGCCTCTTTCAAACCTAGACCAATGAGGACAATTGGGAGCCCAGAGGTCACTCTTATCTGTGTGGCTTTTGTTTGGAGTTTGGGGATTTGGCTTAGTTTGGTGTGTTGTTTCCTAGAGATAACGGCTTTTTTAAGGGAGGCAGAGTTTGCGTGAGCTTAGGGGCACTATCTCACCTTGTCAGGAAATGTGATGGTAGTGTGGGGGAGGCTTTTGTTTTGAATCCACAATGGCATTTTGATTGGCCATAATGAAGAATGAAATTATGTCATTTGCAGAAATAATTGATGAAATTGGAGGTGATCACGTTGAGTGAAGTAAGCCAGACCCCGATCCCGTGTAGAGCCTAGATGATGAACATGTGTACATATGACATGAGACTAGGGGGCCATAGTGGGAGAGAATGAGGATGAGCAAGGGGAGAAAGGGATGTGTAATTCAGAGTAAATATGGTCAAAGTACTTGAGTCACTTGAACAAATGCCGTCATGAAGCTCATTCCTGTGTACAGTGATTATGTGCTAATAGTTTGTAAGGGAAATACATACGTAGTGGCCTGGGGGTGGGGGCGGAACTATCCATTTTTAGCAGTCAGACATGAGTGTATTTTCATTCACTGTGCAGCAGACACCTGAAACCAGTGTCATGGTCAGGTTGGCCATTGCTCTTTGGGACTGCTTGGCCCGTTACTGTGGCCAGCTTGTGGCTCGGCTGGGGCTGAAGGGTCCCAAGGCGCTCACTCCCATGACAGTACTTGGCAGCCCGGTGGGTTCTGAGGTCCCTGGGATTAGGGATGAGGTCACAGGGATGATGGAGGTGTTCCTTTATGGACATTCACCCCCATGGAGGCACGTGTGGTGGCACAGGTAGGGAATCTGATTCTTAAAGTACTGTCGGCCCTAAAGTCCTGAGACAAAGGTGTGCAGGTGAGAGCTCACTGTAGTTGACTGAGTGCAGTCACAGTAAAGCCCCCACCCCCACCCCATGATTCACCTGCTTCAGATGATGACAGTGACATGAGTGTAGATCAGTCCTATAACAACTTAGCCACTGCTCCCTGTGAATAGGATGTAGTGTCGCTCACTGAAGCTCTGGTATTCATGATTCTACACGTTTCACGATCGCTCTCTTGCCCACCTTAAAGCATAACGTTTCCCAAGCCACAAGGAGTTCCCCGAACAGATGCTTAAGTCCAGCCCAGTGTGAGCATACAGCCCATCTATCATGTACGGGTCAGAATGGTAGCAGATACGGGCAGCTGGGACCCATCTCTTCTGCCCATCTTGGAGGCACCAGAAGTACGGGAAGTGGCTTTTTGCTTTTCCTTCTCAAGGAATGCAGGAAACTCCTAGTTGTTAATGGGCCCAGCCCAGTCCACGTGTCACGTCTTGTCAAAGGTCACCCTGTGGCACCTGCTCAGCAGGCAGGCAGTGATGACTCAGGAGACCCTGTTAATAAGTTGTTGCTCCATCTTCCATTCATGCTTCTGAGCTTATCAGAGGATCTCGGGTGGTAAAAGCCTCTGCTGTAAAAGTACACACGTATTTCAATTTCTAATGAACCATGTTGTTCTGTTTTATGCCCCTACCCAGAGGCATCACAGCAGCACACTGTTGTTTATACAGGAGGGTAAGCACTCAGTGCCGCTGCCACGCCACGTTCTTAGGAGTTCCGGGCCTGTAATGAGGTTAGAACACTCAGTATCTTAGGTTCGGCCAAAGGAACAGAGCTGGGGCGATAAACGTTAGAGAAGGGTTTGCTAGATTGGCTCACATGATAAGCTCAGAGTAGCCCGCAATGGCTGCTGGGGAGCCTGAGAACCTGGTGACTGTTCAGCCCACAAGGCCAGGTGCCTCTGCGGCTCCAACCTGGTGCCAAAGGCCAACAGGATTCCTGGAGAGCCTCTGATCATCAGTCGGTCCTCGCTGGAGGCCTGAAGAAGCTGCCTGTGATATCAGAGACAGTATCAGCGGTGGCAGTGGCAGGGTAGATAAACTCCCAGTGAGAATGAGGGTCACGCAAGTGAAAGCTGCTTCTGCTGTGTCCTTGAGCTACCCACGTTAGGCAATCAGTCAGGCCAGTTCCCCAGAGGCACGCCCACAGGCCAGCCCCATGTAGACTGCCCTTCATCCAGATATTTCTACTTGATGTCGAGTTGGCAAGCCAGCCATCACACTTAGTATGAGGACAGACAACAGACATTGCTTAAGAAAGAAAGCTTTGCTTTGAGAGCTGACTCTGCCAGTAATTAGCTCTGTGACACTAAAGGTCACTTTTTTACTTGTAGACAAAACAAAGCATTGGTAGTAGAATAATGTCGTCAGGTCAGTGGCCACTGTTTTTAACTCCAAATCATCCCAGTTTGTGGTTTTTATCTTGAATGCTTTATCCTAAGCATTTCAAGGTGTTTCTACCCCCACCCCTCCTTTTTTTTTTTCTGTAGATGTTTTTCTAGGAAGTTATTTCACCTGACTGGCTTGTCATGAGATAAGCATTTTGTGCATATGAAAATGTCTTAAAATCAAGACTTCCACCTAGAAAACGTAGCCCAAGCAGACGAGCCACTGTAGGAAATATCAGGGACCTGGGGTTAATTCTGGCCCCAAGTTAATTTGGAGCTGTGATGGCACCCCCTAAACAAGTAATAAACCATACATTGGGACAGTGAGTTGGGATGGAATTAGCTCGCAACCATGTTCAGTGATTAAATGCCTTTGTGGGTCTTAGGCTTTAATCTCTCAACCTGTGGATTTGTGAGAGTGAAGGCTGGGGAGACCAGCAGGACAAAAGTGTCCCTTGCCCTGTGCTGGGAGGTTTTCTGTCCTTACGTCCCCTGATGGTGCTGCAGAGCCTTGAGGTGGTGCGTCTTCACAGGTCAGTTTGCCACCACAGCCACAGGTCCCCCCACTCCATCTTGTGACAGTGTCCTGTATCAGGAGTGTGCCTCAAGTGAGAGAATTCATTTCTTCATTTGTTTATGACTACAAACCTTGTTTACACCAAGGTGGACAACAACACAGCATTGGTTGACAAACTGAAGCGATTCCAGCAGGAAAACGAGGAATTAAAAGCGCGAATGGACAAACACATGGCGATTTCGAGGTAAAACGACCAGAGTTTACTTTTCCTCCTCTCAAACTTGCACATTAGCTGTTCCCTTCCAGATACGCTCCACTGGCTACCTCCCAGGCACTGAGAAAAGCAGACAGAGAGGCAGGGATTTCCCTTTGAAAGTAGCAGTTCGTGCTTCTACCAAAGGGGCCTCTAGACCTTCTCCCCAACCTGGAGCTCACTAACTGTAATGACAAATTCAGAGAGGAGGCCATCACAGATGTGAACAGAAAAGGAGCCAAGGCCTACTGCCTACTGGGAAATTGCTCAAAAACTAGAGTTATTACTCACAGGATTATTTATTTGGGTCAGGCTTCACGCTTCTGTTACTTGGAAGTTTTGTTTTCCCTTTTGTAGTACACAGACCTGAGCCAAGGCCTCACACATGTTAGGCCGGGCCCTCTACCACCCTGCTCTATGCCTCCCTGTAGTATTTGGGTCTCTTGGCTTAAAAAAAAAAAATCTGCGACCCCAGGCAAGATCCTGTTTGTTCTCCCAGAGTACATTTCTTGCATCTTCGTATTTATACAGGAAGAGTAACTTTTTTGATTTGGATTCCACATGGTCTTTGGGTTTTCTTTTCAAGGCAACTTTCCACCGAGCAGGCAGCGCTGCAGGAGTCCCTGGAGAAGGAGTCAAAGGTCAACAAGAGGCTGTCCATGGAGAACGAGGAGCTGCTGTGGAAGCTGCACAACGGGGACCTTTGCAGCCCCAAGAGATCCCCCACGTCCTCGGCCATCCCTTTCCAGTCCCCCAGGAACTCCGGTTCCTTCTCCAGCCCCAGCATCTCACCCAGATGACACTTTCCGGAAGAGGAGGGAGAGTCTCCGCAGGCACCGAGGTGTGGTTCTGCAGGACTGGCCACCTCGTGGGAACAAGAGCTGAATTAGCTTTCTGGAATTTCCACAGGATAACTGGAAAGCAGCCACCACCGTATCGGCTGCCTACGAGTCAGGAGCTCCGGAGGAAGGCTTTTGACTTGGTCCAGAAGCCTCCTCCAAAAAACAGATTTCGGATATGGACGTAGTTGCACAGAGCACTTAAGGAACGAGGGAACCTTGTTCTTTTGCCTTCCTTCACCTAACCATAAGAGGAAACTCTCAGGGCCCTATTAAGATAAAGATTTATAACCTTTCTAATATTCTTCACCAGAGACACCTTCTTGTGATTTTTTTTTTTATTTCAGTCTGACTGAGGGCAGGGGTGTGTGTGAATGAAATGGGTGCATTAGTGTGTCATGTGACTGTCACAGCCCTCTCTGCTGTGTATTAAAAGTCAACAGCTGAATATAGCTGGTTCTGTATTAATCAAGTTATAATCAGTATGCTCGCGTCAACAAACGCCATAGAAGAGAAAGCAATAGTTGCTTGAATTTCTACCGACTCCTCTTGGCACTGTGCGACATGGCAGGGCTAGGGTATGACAGGAAAACCCTTTTGATTTGTTGGTGTCTGCACATTTCTCTGTTAGCTTTTCAGTGTTCAGTTTTGTCAGTTGATAACGTTTGATTTTTTTTTCCTTTTCCTGTAGACTTTTATGAGCCTAATAAATATACTCCGATCCACTTTCTCAGGCTATGAGCGAAGTTTTCTAGACACAAACCTGTATAAAGAATAAGGGGGCAGTACTAATGGTTGTTTCTGCCTTGTTTTCACCTTGACTCTGAGCTGTCTTCACAGGGGTCAACTTCATCTTCTCTCCCCATTGTCTCCAATCTGCCTCTCCTCCCTCCATCTAGAGCCACAGAAGCAAGCCTTCTACCCCTTTCCCATTACAGAGTGCTGTTCCAGAACCAGCTTGTCTTGGAGGTGCTGGACCAATAAGCTGACATCTGGATCTGGAAGTACACATTTTGGAAACCCATAGAAAAGTCAGGAAAGATGGCCTTCAGCATGTGCTAATGGCCAGCAGCACTTTGCTAACCAACAGTTGGTGTTTAATAGGACAAGAGTCTGGGCAGTGATGCTGACTTGGGGCCTTTGAGCATCCCTCCTGTCATTGAAGTGTAACAGAGGTCAGCCAAAGAGTGAGAAATGTAGGCTATGTAACTCCTTCACGCCCCATTTGAATTTCTTTTCAAAATTTCATTTACCACCCTGCCCCCCAAGACAGTAGAAGGATAACTGTGGCTCCCAACTCCCGCTTCCCCACATCTGCCAACATTGTGATGTCAGTATCTACTAATCCATGTTCAATGGCTGGTCTTAACAACCCCTGTAGTTAGGAGATTCAGGATACTAGATGTGGATATTTGAGTCATCATGGACCTGCACACTGCATAGCTAATTGATATTCGTGACGCATGCTTTTTAATTAGCGGTTATGTTGGATGAAGTCTAATAGCCAGTAGTTTATGATGTATGTAGCCTTCCATGTTTGCTTCTGATAGAGTGTAGCTTCACTGCCACCTCATGGACTGACTATCTCTGCTCTTGGTCCCAAGCCTGTTCCCAATGGCATTAACCAAAGTTGGGTTTTTAACACTTACGTTCTAGCTATGATAAAAACTCATTTGATTCCCTGCCATCCTCCATACCATTTCGGTGTCTGGGAAGTCAATCTTACAGCAACTATAAAATGCCTTCAGGGGCTAGAAGACAAGAGAAAAGATAGGAAACAAAATGAAGAGCTTTTAAAGGTTTGGGGTTTTTGTTTGTTTTTTTAAAAAAACATTTTGTGTATGATATAAAACTGTTGACACATCGTAAAAAATGTGGATGTGTGAACAACTGAAGTTTATAGTGATGGAAAGTGTATTTTCCTCGTATCAAATAAATCATGCTGAGATATTCAATAGAAGCATGGCAGCCTCTGACATATTTTACTCTTCAAAGCCCTAGGTTGTGTTACATACATCCTTCTCTACACTCATTAGTGAAGACCGCTCCCTGCGCTATTGGACCGGACTCCCAACTCAATGCCCATGTTCATTGTGGGCAGAAATTGTCTTGCAGAGCTTGAATTTAAGGTTAAGCTTTTCAAAATTCAGATACCGAATTTTGGCTAGTTAAAAAAAATACTACTGTATGGTATAAGAAAACTGGAACAGCTGTGGTTTTAAGTACTTTGGAAGACCGATGTAGCCAAAGTTGAATTTTCTTTAACCTGTTCATGTATGTTATGTTAAAGGTTAAATTGTTCGAGGAATTTAAAGTTGGTACCTTCAGTGTGGCAATGTAATGTAAAAATGTGATTTTTGATACCTTTATAAATTAATGCACATTAGCTTTGATAAAGTGACATATCTAAGCATTTGAAATCTTGAGTTGTTGCTTGTGAGTAAGCAGTTGAACATGAGGGAGTAGCAAAGATTGCTGTCACATCCCTCTGGGTGCACAAACTAAATGAACAACAAATGACTCTTTTTTGTTTTTTATAAAATCTTGCTCATTTAATAGAAATGATTATACAAAGTTGTTGACATGTTTTTCTTGGTATAAAAATTAAAAACATGGCTGTACGTAATCAAAATACACTTTCATTAGAAAAGGTAACACTTCCTTTGGATTTGGATGTCTGCCTGACCCACAGGCAGAGGCTGGCCCTTTGTATCGACCGCCCACAAAGCACTTAAAAAAAAAAAAAGGTTGTGCATACAGATGGCTGCCCATCGGTTCACTGTACTTCATTTGCCAAGTCAGGAAAACTCAACAGTGGTAGCCACTGTAGTCTGTCCTCGGAGATTCTGAGCCGTGCATATATAATATCCTGCATCAATGGTCTCAAAGTCTTCAATGGTGATGACACTCTGGGAGATTCTTGTGGTGTGCCCGAGTCCTCTGTTGATGAGTCTCCAGGTGTCTTGAATGGCCACAGGCCTTTCGTCCTGTTGAAAGATGGCATACAGACTTGAAGCCACAGGGACAAGCAGCTTCTCAGATCCCATCCACCCGGCCCATTCTTAAATACAAAGCGCATGCTCACTGAAGACTAATTTGTATGCTGAGCTTAAAGCCTCGCCCCCCCTCCCATAAATCATTTGAGGCTGCGTTTTTTTTTTTCCAAGTGGGGTCTTGGATTTCTTTCTGCCCTTTCTAGATGTGAAATGGATTATCTTAGACCTCTAAGGGGAACTGTTCTTAAGCAGAATTGTTTCCCTTGTATCATCCTCACGATGCCAACTTTCATTGCCAAGTGGTTCTTATTCATGGAATGTAAGGTCTAATGCCCAGAGCACTGTCTGTGTGAGTAAAGCTGAGCTCCCTGTGGCTCTGATTTGGGAGAGGCAGGAATGTAATTAAGCGAATGTTCCTTGAGACTACAGAGGGAGGCAAACTGTACCAAGGAAGGGTAAAATAATGCCCTAGACAGCATGAGTGCTTATTCTAGAAGAGTGTCACCTTTAGGTCTGTTTCAGGCAGTTACAGTGAGAAGAACAGCCTTTTCTTTCTTTTTTTTTTTTTATACGAGACAGGGTTTCTCTGTATTGTTTTGGAGGCTATCGGTCCAGCCCGGCCTCGAACTCAGAGATCCGCCTGCCTCTGCCTCCCGAGTGCTGGGATTAAAGGCGTGCGCCACCACCGCCCGGCTTAGAGAAGAACAGTCTTTTCTAAAGTCACTCGGTCAGTAACTATAATGTTGTTAACTTAATACTTTTTCTCCTAACAAAATAACAGCAACATAAAAGGTAATCCTATTGAAAAGCAAGAATGCTATGTGTGACAATGTATTTAAAACAATAACAACAAACCTAGCATCAGGATGCTGGGAAATAATCCTCTCTGGGAATCATCTTTTTCCACCCAACGCAGACTTAGCCCAGAGCTTGGGAGACGCCATCTCTAGCAGCAAAGGTAGCAGAGCATGCACAAAGGCACTGTGCTTTCTATAAAAGTCTATTTCTATGTCATGCCGGCCTTGCCACACCTTGGGAAAAGGGTCTGCGTTTATATGCCCATTTGGAGACTATCGACTCAAAGCTTTCCCCAGGCCTTGTGTGAGGACACGTGGCCTTCTGGCGCCTCCCTTTCTCCCATCCATGACCTGGGAGCGCTGTGCGTTATGAAGGATTCCTGTAATGAACCTAGACTGAAGTTCAGAAGGAAGAAGTCTGCCCCTTTCCTGCCACTATCTCTAAGTAGGGACAATGGGAAAATCACACATATAAAGGCATCTTGAGTGAATTATCATCGAATAGAGCCATCTATTCCCCACCCCTCTTTTCCTGGAAAACAGCATATTTTGAAATAGACTGAAACATCTTAGAGAATGCGTGTCTGACTCCCACCCAGTCCATAACCCTTGCACTTCAAAGTCTGGTGATGCAAACTAAAGGTTCTGGCTGAGGCTGGAGTGTGGCACTCACCTTCTGCCCAGGAAAGATCCACCTGAATTCCACCTCAACGTCGGGCTCCCCTAGGACAGTGCAGAGCACACTGATGTCATCCCCGCCATTCACTTTGTTGGAGGAGGCCAAGATGGTGGTTGACGGAGGGCCGCTGGGAACTGGGGGCAAGCGGGAAGGAAGAATGAGCTCCGCATGCACACACCTTTCTGGAGAGAGGAAACCGGCCTTTTCTATAGCTTCATGAGGCTAACACTAGCACACACACCCTTAGATTGCTCTGGAAGCTGCCTCTAGGCCTCTCTGTGTTGGTAGTCATCCAGAATCCAAGTTCCCCACCTCCATACTTGTGGACGAAGAAGGAGTTACCAAGTTGACCAATGTCACGTGAAAGATGTGAAAGGTTTGTAGGTAGGTGAGGTAAGGGATGGAGAGATGGCTCAGAGGTTAAGATCACTGGCTGTGCCTCTGAAGGTCCTGAGTTCAAGTCTTGGTAAGCAACCACATGGTGACTCACAACCATCTATATAATGAGAACCAGTTCCCTCTTTTGGCATGCGGGCAGAGCACTGTCTACATAGTACATTTTTTTAAAATAAAGATGTGATGAGAGGGAAGCGATTTGGAGAAAGAGTAAGTGAAGGCAGCCTGGCTGGGTCGAGATGGGCAGATATGGGGCATCATCCTCAGAAGAGATCCAAGAGAAAAATGTTTGCAGGATAGCACAAGTACTTTCTGTGTTTGCAGGGTCCTTACATCATTATATCTTAGAAACTTTTCTTTATGGTTCGGTCACTCAATGGGTAATTCTGATAGCAACCTTAGGAACTAGAACGACAGGAGCAAGCCAGACAGATGGTGGGCTGAGCTGTTAGCAGAGTGGGCAGTGGTAATCATTTGACGGAGTAACCTGCAAGCTAGCAAAGACAGAATCAGGCAAGAAGTCTCAGCACTGAGCTTTAAACGATACAGGGAGAATTTCTGAGCAGTAAATGAGGTAAGATGAGGTGGCCAGAGCTGTGAAGCCAACCGTTTGAGTCTCTTCAGGACTTTGCATCTATAGGTGAGAACTTACTGAATGTATTGATGGAGCTGTAGCAGAAAATGGATGGGAAACTAAGGTGGGCACATGGGAGGAAACTATTACTCGCTAGAGATGACGATAGCTTGAGTCATTGGATCAGGGATAAAAACAGCAAGATCTGAAAGTGATGTAATGGAGTCTAAAGGACAGGAGGACAGGCTGGTCTTCTGTTGCGGCCATTCACACTAGGCAAGGGAGCAACTGTCCCTGAAGTGGGGGGCACAGGTGAACCATGCCTGCAGGGCGATGCTGAGTTCACTGGTGGCCATGGAACCGGGTGTTGAGTGTCCTCTGGACAATACTTGGACACATGGTCCTTTAATTCCAGCACTCAGAGGGCAGGGGCAGGCAGATCTCAGTGAGTCCAAAGCCAGCCTGGTCTACAAAGTCAGGTTCAGGACAGCCAAGACTGTTACACAGAGAAACCCTGTCTCAAAAAAAAAGTACTGGCTACTTTTCTGGAGAACCCAGTTTTGATTCCTAGCCTCTTTGGGAACTGCACACACTTGATCTCTACATATGCAGGCATAACATCTATACATATAAAAACAGCACTTCAATGATTTAACAAAATCTGAAAAGTGAGGCCACAGTCGAAGGAATTTCAGGGACGAGTAGAATCTAGTAGGATGATGTGCATTATCTGTTCGATGTAATGACATGAGACCCTGGCAAAGTTTGTACAGAGATCAGCTAATGAAACTGATGAGGGGAGGTAACAGTGAGTCTGGAAATACAAAGAGGGCTTTTTTGAGAGTAGTTGGCTGCTATGGGGGAAAGAGGTGGCCTCAGTACAGAGTTGAGGCAGTCAAAGCAGGGTTATTAGTTATCTAGAAACAGAATATTAGAAACCCTGGCCTACTCCATAAGTCCCTCAGCAGAGAATGGAAGAAATTGCCCACCCCAAATTCTGATTACTGAGAGCAGCTAACTTTGGAGACACACCTCTCCACAGGGAAGCACCATTACTGTGGAGAGCTTTAGCCCTGGGCTCCCCAACTCTCCTCAGGGGACACAAAAGTTATCCTGGAAGAATGACAGTGCAGGAGAATCGATCACTTTCCCCAACTTTGGGAACAGAGTGAGGCACTCCCCCGGAAGTCATGGGAGGGCAGGGTTGCATGGCTGTGTAGAAAATCTGCCCACTAGCCTGTCCCTGTGCCATCAGAAAAGCCTTGGAACAGATGCGAGCGTGGTAGGCTACAAGGCAGAGGGGCTGTGTTGGGAGCTGGGGGAGCTGGGGACAGGACCTTGCAATCCTTACATCCAACCAGTCGCGTTGTCTACATGTTTAAGGTCTGACTGACATATGAGGGTGGGATGGAGGTGTCCAGTGAACGGGGTGACACTCAAGTCACCCTGAAAATGCAATGGCAAGAAAGACAACTGATAAATTAATGGCAGAGGGTGACAGGAAAGGAAATGAGAAATCTAGTGAAACCAGAGCCAGCACCATGAAGAAGCAGTGGTCCCCAGTAGAGGGTGACAAACAAAGGACAGGAGTAAGACTGAGCACAAGCAGGGTGCCATCCTCAAGGTGGGGCATGGATGATGGTGATGACGATGATAGGACATACTTGGTTAAAGCAAGTCTGATAGGTTCTAAGGGAGACTAGGGACACAAGGGACCTGCTGATCACAGAGGTAGACTGAGGGAAGGACTTGGAGGGGGGGGTGGATAGAGGGAATGGATCAAAGGAGCAGAATGCTCTAGAAATACCATAGAGACGCTTGTAGAATATCATCCTAGACTTTGCACTTCCCTCCCAACCATCAGGCAGTCCCAATCACGGTTGAGGGAAGCAGGCAAATTTACTTACCTTCTACATAGAGCAGCTGATACTTGACGGAGATCTGAGACTTGCCCCCAGCTTCAGCTTTACAGTAGACCACACCCTGGTGATCAGAATGAGGCTGAAGGTATACAAAGCCTCTCTTCATGTCATAAACTATATCTGTTCCGTTGACAGGGATTTCTTTGGCAGGAAACTCTCTGTGGAGCGTGACTTTGGCTGACAGCACTGTCACTCGACAAGGGACCACAGCCTGTCTGTCCAGGTTCAGGTAGACAACATCAAAGTAACTGGGAGAAGGTACAAACAGCTCTCCTTTCTCTGCAGAGACACATGGACTTAATGACTCAAAAGAAATATAGTGAGGTTGCCCCAAGATTCTTAACCCACACAAGGATGAGACAATTCTAACAATGCATACTGTACACTGGGTCTCTAAGAGAAACTGGGTTGAAAAATGGGTGGGAGTTGTTTTGTATCCTGCTAAAATTTAGATGTTGACTGTCTACTAAAGGTCCTTGAGTTAAAGACTTGGCTATTGGAAGTTCCTGGGTGGGGGCTTGGTGAGAGGGCTTTAGGTCAGTAGGGATACATTCTTGAAAGTACTTGTAAGGCATCAGCCTTTTCTCTCTACCTGGTGCCTGATGATGACACCTGTCTCAACATAGGATGGAAGACATGAGGTCAGTTGATTATGGACATGAAATGTTCCAAAATGTTTTCATAATAAATTGTCTTAGTGATAAACGAGCTGAGGAATCAGAGAAACATCACCCTTCATAATAACCACAAACAATAAAAAATATCTTGGGGTAACTTTAACCAAACAAGTGAAAGACCTGATGACAAGAACTTTTAAGTTTTTTAAGAGAGACATTGGATATCAGAAAATGAAATCTCTCCCATGCTCATGGATTGGTAAGGATTAACACAGTAAAAATGGCAATCTTACCAAAAGCAATCTACAGATTCAATACATCAAAATCTGAACACAACTCTTTGCTGACCTCAAAAGAAAGATACTCAACTTCATAAGGAAAAACAAAAGACCCAGGATAGCTAACCCAATCCTGTACAGTAAGCTCTACTGTAGAGCTATAGTAACAAAACAGCTTGATGTTGGCATAAAGAAAAAAAGACAAGTGGATCAGTGGAATTGAAGACCCTAACATAAAATCCACACACCTGTGAATACCTGGCTTTTGACAAAAAAGCCAGAATTATACAATGAAAAAAAAAAGGAAAGCACTTTCAACAAATGGTGCTTGTATAACAGGATGTTGGCATGTAAAAGAATGCAAATCGATCCATATCTATCCCATGTACAAAATTCAAGTCCAAGTGAATCAAAGACCTCAACATAAATCTAGTTACACTGAAATCGATAGTGAAAGTGGAAGTGGCATTGAATGCCTTGACACAGGAGACTACTTCCTGAATATGACACCAGTAGCATAGACACTGGGATAGACAATTAACAAATGGGACCTCCTGAAACTGAAACACTTCTGTAAGGCAAAGGACACTCTCAATAAGACAAAATGGCAGCCTACAGACTGAGAAAAGATCTTCACCAACCCCACATCTGACAGAGGACTGATCTCCAAACTAAAGAACTCAAGAAACTAGATATCAACAAGCTAAATAATTAATTTAAAAAATGGGTTGAACTGTGTCTGGATTCTGTGAGTTAGAGCCCTTACAATCTATAGAGATCATTTGGACTCTGGCAGTTTAGAAACCTTGTTGATAAAGGAGTTCTGTTTGAAGGAGCACATACATACTCACTAGCGGAAAGTTTCATTGAATCAGAAGTTAAGAAGGATGACTGTTTACATGGGTGCTTCCTGCCAGTAATTCAGTGAGGGGGTTCCCCTTATTGATTGGGGTGATTGACTTGATCAGAAGAAATTGGGGAGGATTGGGACATCTGTTGAAGAGGATGTGGAGTAAGGAAAACACTCCTCCACAGCTGGTGGGAGTGCAAACTTGTACTGACATGTTGAAAATCAGTATGGAGGTTTCTCAGAAAACTGACAAATCAATCTACCTCAAGACCTAGCTATACCAATCTTGGGCATATACCCAAAGGATGCTTAATCATACCATAAGGACACTTGCTCAACTATGTTCATAGCAGCATTATTGGTAATAGCCAGAACCTGGAAACAAACGAGATGCCCCCCCACCTGAAGAGTGGATTAGGAAAATGTGGTACATCTACACAATGGAGTACTATTCAGCAGTAAAAAACAACCTTGTGAAATTTGCAGACAAATGGTTGGAACTAGAAAATCATTCTGAGTGTGGTAACTCAGAAAGACAAACACGGTATGTATTCACTTATAAATGGATATTGGGAGTAAATTATAGGATTACCAACCTACAATTCACAGTCCCAGAGAGGCTAGATAACAAGGGCTGGAAGAGAAATGCATGGATTTCCTTGGGAAGGGGAACTAGAGCTGCCCTGGGTAAGCTGAGGGTTGGGGGAAGATGGGAACTTGATGGAGAGGGTTGGGTGGGCTGGGAGTGGGAGTTGGGTTGGGGGCAGGATGGAGGGGGAAGAGTAAGGAAAGAGACATCTTGATAGGGGGGCCTTTTCAGGGCTCTGGAGAAACCTGGTGCCAGGGAACAGGGAAACCCCCAGGAATCCACAAGGATGACCCCAGCTAAGACTCCTAGCAATAGCAGAGAGGGTGCCTGAACTGACCCTCTACTGTAATCAGATTGGTGATTATACTCCTTGTCACCAGAGAGCCTTTATCTACTAAGTGATGGAAGCAGATGTAGAGGTCCCACAGCCGAGCTCCTGGAGTCCAGCCAAAAAGGGAGGAGGGATTATATGAGCAGGGGGGGGGGGGGTCAAGGTCATGATGAAGAACCCACAGAGACAGCTGACCTGAGCTCATAGGCTGTAGACCAACAGTTAGGGAGCCTGCATAGGACCAACTTAGGCCTAGCTTGGTCTGTTTGTAAAGCCCCTAGCAGTGAGATTAGGACCTGTTCCTGGAGCTTAGCTGGCTTTTGGGAACCTGTTCCCCATGCTGGATTACCTTGCCCAGCCTTGATGCAGGGGGAGGAGCTCAGTCCTGCCTCAACTTGGTGTGCCATGCTCTGTTCAAGCCCATGGGAGGCCTGCCCCTTTCTGATTGGAGATGGAGGAGAAGGGGATGCAGAGGAAGACAGATGGGAGGTGGTGGGAGGGGGAGATGTGATTGGTAAAATAAATGAAAAAATGTTAAGTAAATTGTCTTTGGTATTTTAAAAGGGTAACTTTATCAACTTCCCCTATGTCCTCAAAGGAAACAAAAAAGATGTTTTTTTTTTTTAGCTCAAATCAAAATCATAGCTCACATTGATGAAGTAAGGAAGGAGTCTGATTTCCTTAAGTTAAAAATAAAAATTGTAATAAGATTTTACTTTTATCATTTCTGTAGGTGTGTGGGATATTACGTTGTGTGTGTGTGTGCGTGCATGCATGCGTGCATGTGTGTGTGAGTGTGTGCCTGTGGAGGACAGAAGAGAATGTTAGCAGCAGTGAGCCCCCTCATGTGGGTGCTTGACTCGACACTCAGATCCTATGGACGAACATCCAGTGTTCTTCAGGGCTGAGCTATCTTTCCAGCCCTGTGAGAAACATTCCTAAAACCTTGAAACACTCTGTGCTTCTGGGTAGAAAATGAGCCTCATAGCCAAGGACCTCCATTGAGGGGCATTCTGCTACAGTGGAGGTCCTCAGAAAGGCACAAATGTTTATGTTACTGTGTCCCCAGGGTCCTCACACCCAACACAGAAAATAGAGAGTATGCCAAGGCTAATGGAGGAGGCTAGGATGGGAACAGAGGGAATGGTCTGAGGGATGGCCCCTACTTGCCCTCTCTCTCTCTCTCTCTCTCTCTCTCTCTCTCTCTCTCTCTCTCTCTCTCTCTCTCTCTCTCTCTCTCCTCCCCCCACCCCTTCCCCTTCTGCAATGCACCCGGTTCAGATTCTTTAAATGCTAGGTGACTTTTCCCTCTCACAGGAAGCAACCAGGTGAGAACTGGTTTACTCACAATGTCCCTAGGACAGCAGAAGGATTTGGGGTGGGGCTCTGGGAGCGCACGTGTATATAATTTGCTGGATTTGGCTTGACACATCAAGTCCTTTGTTTTCTGGATTGTTCTATAAAGGGATATTATAGTAATTACTGAGAGAACTCTGGGGATAATCACATAACACTTGTTAAATTGTCTCCCTGTGATTCCCTTGCAACATTCTGGAGCAATCAATTATTCTTGTCTTTCTCTTTCCCCAGCATTCTGTGTCACCATTGCAGGATAATTTAGGTTGGGTGTAGGATTCCTGGAGACATCAAGGGTCTTCAGGGGCAGGATGTCTTTAGTTTCAAGGACCAAGTTCAGAAACATGAACGTGTTTCTATGGGAAAGACTGTCATTGCTAGGCTTTATTAACTTGGCTGGGTAATTTTGTTGCTTTGTAAATTGACCCCTGCTTAGACACAGAAAATCTACATAGCCTTGAGTGTGTTAATGCAGTTGTGCTTTAAAACCCCATTTGTAAATAGTAGATAATATAAGACCAGCCTGATCTACAAGAGCTGGTTCCAGGACAGCCTCCAAAGCCATAGAGAAACCCTGTCTTGAAAAACCAAAAAAAAAAAAAAAGAGAGTAGATAATATTAAAGGCATCTTTTGAGTAGCTGAGAGTGTACCTCAGTCGCAGCGCACTTGCCTGGGATCTTAGAAGACCAACATTCAGTCCCTAACACTATAAGAAAATAAAGATTTTTTTAAGTTAACAGAATTTTGTAATTGTAAGATTGTGAAGGCAACTTGTTTGTAAGATTTTGCTGTGTGGTGATCTGCCCCACTCAGCAAAGCCAGTAAAATCAGTGAAGAACTGGAATTTCAAAATGCAAAAGTAGTCTTATTTCTTGTTGTGAAGTACGTGCTTTGGAATAAATGAGTCCATCAGTTGCTTTAAAAAATACTTGCAGAAAAAAAAATACTTGCAGAATAGGACATGGCTCAATGGTAGAGAACTTGCCTAACCTGTGAAAAGTCATAGCTTCAATACACAACACTATATGCACACACACACACACACACACACACACACACACACACACACACACACACACACAGCAGCGGCTTCCATCTGTAAGAAGAAATGTGTTAAGGTTCCTTTAAAAAAAATCATAGGTTATATTCCCCTACAAATATGCTTGTATGTACTCATGTACCATATTGCTTTAAAAACTAAACACATGGGGTTTTATATTCTTAAAAGTCAAAGCTAATAGCCTATAAACTAAAATACAAATTATGGCACACTCAGTATCTAGTAAAGTACTTAATAATGTGGTCTCCCTACATATGAAAATCGTTGCCCGAGTATTTCCCATTGGGAAGGCCCTCCCACTGATAGAATGTTTCCCTTGATCTGTCTGGGTGGCGGTTACATGTCTGCTCCCTTGAGGGCAGTTTATTGAGTTGTCTACTTAGGTTCTGAATTCTTTTATGTATGTTATACTTCAGTGTTAAGGAGAGTGGAGAGAGAGAGAACATGAACCTGCCTCCTGGATAAGAGGAAATAAATGTGGCAGTTACTCAAACTTTACACAGATTAACAACAGGCAGAGCCCCAAAAGAAATTTCACAGTGTTTGCCACCAAACTCTAGGAAACACAAACATAACGAATGGCAGATGCTTCTCCATGTGGGTAGCTGAGAAGCATATGTTCCTACGGAACCCTATGCCAGCAATAGGAACCTCCGCTTCTGTGGCAGCCCATCTTGGTTTTCCAAAGCCACCCACACTTCACAAAGACAAAATGCCAAACTCTGTACTGAAAATCGATGAAGATTTTTGGTGTGTTGAGTAAAAACAATAAAATGGTGCCATCTCCCTCCTCATCCTTCCTTCCTTCCTTCCTTCCCTTTCCTTCCCCCCCACCCCCTGCAATTTTTGGCAGGTTCCTCTGTAAGCCCAGACTGGTTCTTGAACTCACTATGTAGCTAAGGAAGATGCTGAACTTCAAATCCTCCCACATTTTCCTCCTGAGTGTTGGCATAAAAGGCATTCACCACTGCACAAAGTTGTAAATTATGCTGAGCTAGAACCCAGGTCTTCACGCATGCCAGGCAAACAATCGATCCACTGAGCTATATCCCCCAGTCCTGACTTAAGTTTGCTCAAAGTTGAAGATGACGTGTTTTAGCTTTCTTTTGGTTCACAAGAGAACTTTAGGAACTCAAGAGGATCCACCTACAAAACTCACAAGAGCACTTGTAAACCCTATCAACCCATAACAGCTCCAGGGAAGTCTTCAAATCAAAACCTAGTACTGTGGGAAGACATGGTAGTGCTACTCTTGGCCAAGAATGTTCATCGCAATTTCAATACGAAATCCATCCTTATGCAGAATGAAAAGCTCTTATCTATCTTAATTGTTTGCCTTTTTCACACTTTGTCACATGGCATAACACAAAGACCCCACGGACATGAAAATTCTACAGAGCTACCCATGAACACCCATTAGAAAGTCTCAGGCAGTCTTAACTCTGCTAGCTAGTGTCATTCAATCAATCAGTCAAGCTACTGTTTTGTCCTAGAAGGGCTCAAGGCATGATAACAGTGGATTGTGGGTCAGAAAAATGAGTTTGACCACTTAATATGCTACCACAAGTCCCAGAACACTTCAAGAGTCATCTTGCCCTTTTAAATCTTGGCATCCATATTGTTTCTAAAACAAACATAATAGCTTCAATTCCTTTCCTTGGGCAAAATACATGAGCAGTTGCTAATGCATTGATTAATGGCCAGGATATGAGATCTCTGGGTTATAGCCATATTTCAGTACAGACCTGCAAGGCAGATTGACTTGGGACTTAGACAAATCTCATGAGAGCCTCTACCCAGATACTTACAAAGGGCTCCCGTCTCTCCCGAGATGCATTGTACAATAATAGCACCAGTAAACAGAATCTGCAAGCTTTCTCCCTGACCTTTAAACCTCATCCCCCAATGCTGGAACTCCCTGAGGTCTGAGGTGGAAGGAGGCTGGGAACCAGTATGTAACAAAGTCACAGGTTTTGCCCTGGCAGTGCATTCCTGGCACCACCTGGGAGGAAGGACTCTCCAATGTGACCCACAGGTGTCCCAGCTCCCCTCTTAGTCTCAGATGGGACAGAAACTACAGGAACCCTGCTCTGAAGTCTCAGCTCCTGGAACTCATAAGAACATATATGAGGAGGTCTTTAGCAACCCCACCTTGTTGCTATTGAGATTCCAGAAGGATCTGATCACAGGTCTCAGTACAAGGACGAGCAGCCAACAGTGGCACCATGCAATGGGACTCCGTGACCGTGTAAGCATTCCTTCCTATGTAGCCCCCTATGAGAACATTTCAATTACACATGTCACAACTGAGCACTCCAACTGAGGCAAGTGTGCCGGCACGTGAGTTTTCAATTGTATTTCATTTTGATACAGGGTGATATTTAAGTTGCCACATGTATCAAGTGGCTGCCCTTCTGAGCAGTGGAGGCATAGACCCTGAATCAGACAGTATTCCTTGTGCCCGCTGCCTGCTGCGGGACTTTAAGAATTTTCTTCATCTCTCTAAATCTCGTTTCTCTGGAAATGATACATGCATTTGCCCTCAAAGGCTCTCATAATACTTGCTCTTTGCCCTGTGCCTGAGCGATGAAGTTTGGAGGCAACATCAGCAGTGCAAGAAGCTCTGTCGTGTACCAAACTTGTACCTGTGAAGAAGATGTAGGTGGAGCCCATCCTGGACTCGTCTCGTCTGCAGATGTAGCCATTGCACAGTTGCCCCCAGCAGCTGAATTCACCCGTGTCGGCTGAGGTGGAGTTGACCAGCGTCAGTTGCCCATAGCGTTCGTTCTGCTTCAGGCTGTAATTTCAAGAGAGGGAGGGCGTCAGGACAGGTCAAAGCCCAGCCTACGGCTTTCCAGACATGGGTTTCTGCTTCGTTGCTTCCAGATGTAAATACCCCAGTAACCTGATGTGGCCCTTCAGATGGCAAAGCTAGTCAGAATGTGTTTGGTGGGTGGAGGGAATAGAGCGTGTGTGTATTGGGGGGTGGGTGGGCAGAAAGGAAAGCTTTACCCTACAAGAAAATAATGACAATTATGATTTTTCAAACTTAAAAATTCCCCATCCACATAGAGGGATACTCTCTCAGACTAGACACATGGGAGAGGCTTTAGGCCCTGCTCCAAATGATATGGCAGACTTTGAAGGTCCCCCATGGAAGGCATCACCCTCCTGGGGAGCAGAAGGGTGATGGACTAGGAGGTCGGTGGGGGCCAGGGGAGGAGGGGAGGGAGAAGGAACTGGGATTGACATGTAAAACAAGCTTGTTTCTAATTTAAATTAAAAAAAAAGAAAAAGAAAAAATTATTTTTCATCAGAGTAAATTCTCTTTAGCCTCAGAGCTGGGGTTTCCAGAAATAAGATCATTGGGGGGCTTAGGAATTCATCCACAAAAGCCTGGGACTGGTGCTTGCTTTTAAAAAGAAACAGGCTGAAAATAATGTGGATGAGAGCACACAGCATTAGTCAATACCCTAAATCTCTTCTAACAGTAAGTTCCAAGTATAGGCGTTGAATCTCAGAGATGTTGTGCAATTACATGAGAAACAAACTGTTTTCTCTGCTGTGATGTGAGCCCCAGGTCAGGGACGTACCTCTGAAGAAGGGTTCAGGGCCCTTGGGCTTTCTGACTTTTACTCTGGCCTTACTCTACTATTTCTGTTTTTATTGTTCTCTTGCGCTTTTATCTAGTAAACCGATATTCAGAAGTTCTGAAAATCCCCAATTTCTTCCTGAAATAGAGACATCATTAATATCTAAAAAGTGACATCCACAAATTGTCCTGATGGTGACACAATTCCAGAAGCCTCGGTCTTTATAACGGATGTTCCCCTGTGGCTTAGGAGCCTCAGCCTGTGATGCCAAAATAAATGGTTTTAATCCAAGCACTGATCTCAGATACCCAAAGGCTTCACTCTTCTGGGATCCACATAGCTTTCTGATGGAGCGGAGAGCCTCCTGTTTTATCTCGCCACGATATCAGCATGAGCACAACTTCAAATTTAGCACATACAAAAGGTCTGGGTGTTGGGTCCCAAACACAGCCCTGCTCTAGCTCCCTTCTGGATGGCTTATTGCGCCTACCAGGCCCGCCCAGAGGGGGCTGTATACTCCTCCCACGCCATCGCCTCTCTCCTTTAAACTGGACGGAAATCTCTCCTCCCTCAGGAAGCTTCTAATTACAACAGACGCTCAGGAATCTCCCCCACTTTCTCCTAATGAAGTAATTGGCCCCCTTGTTTTCTCTGTCCCTCTGATACCCCTGGCTTCCTGTTATTATACTGGATGGCGACAAGGAAAGGGACAGTGCCATATTTGTTTCATATTCTCCAAGAGAGAGAAAACAAATCTGTGCACAGTACACGGTGTGGATCCCTGAAATACAAGTGCATTGAAGCTGAGGTGACACACATCATTGCAGCAGAAAGAGCTGAAGAAAAAAATCAGGCACCTGGTTTTGCAGACAGTTTGGATGTCCACAGAGTCCCATGTATTATATAGGGTTAGGCCCCAGTTCATGAGATTTATAGGGGATGATGGAACCCCTAATCATCAAGGTCTAGTGGAGCTCTCCTTTCTGGTCACTGTTGGCGTCTGAGGAGAGTGAGACTTTTGTCCCTTTCTTCCGTCACTCTCACGGCTTCCTAGACATGGGGAAAGTGGCTTTGTCCCATTGTGTACGTCACCATGAGGTATCACTCTATGTACGTGATGTGCCACCGCGAGACCAAAGTGATGGGACCAACTCAAAGTCACCAGCTCAAAGTCAGAAAACAGTGAGTCAAAATCATCAGTCTTGCTTTTCAGTGTTGTCACAGCCACAAACTCAATAGCAGATTAGAACACAGAGACTCAGAAAAGTGACATCCCTGAGACACACAGCTGGGAACCAGCTAAGCAAGTCACCCAAAGTTACTTGTGTACTTAGCATGTAGTAATTAGATAATAAACTGGGAGCAAAGCGTTTCATGCAATGCACCCTGCTCAGCGTATCATTCCAATTATTTCTAATTACACGTAATTGTAGGTTCAGACTAGCTATTGTGAATACTGCTACAGCAACAACGGAACAACACACACCCAGCACTGGATAGTGTTAGTACAGAAAATAAAAACCAGTAGGCTTTGGGAGGTTGCATTCCAATTCAAGAGTTAGGACTAACAACCACGACAAGACTCAGGAATGATTAGCCCGGTTCTCACAGCAAAAATGAAATTCTCCGAGGGTGGGTTGAAGAGGTCGAAGGCAGCTTTGAAGAGGGTGAGACAAGCTGGTATAGTGCAGGAGAAGGGGCAGTAGGGGCCTGAGGGACAGCAGGCAAAACGTGCTTAATCGGAGAATGAGGATGGCTGGGCACTTACTCTGCGGCGTTCACAGCCATGACCCTCATGTTCAGTGGAGAGAACGCAACACTTTCTTGGGGGTTTCATCCGTTATTTGCAGAGTGAGACAGAAGCAGGGAGTGGGGAGTCACAGATGCATGGTTGAGAGCTGTAAAACGGTGCATGGTCATTTACTGAACCAGTGGGAACCAACCTCTGGGGAATGGAAAGTGATGGGACCACCCTTGTTAGGGCACAAGCAGACAGGACCCGGAGTGGGAAGAGTAGAAAGAAAAGTGAGAACCTAAGACATTTCAGCCCTTACTACAATGAAGAGGTGTCTAGGCATGGGCACGGGAGGATGTGGAAATCTGGGAGAGAGGCAGGGATTTGCAAGTAACTGGATAAGAGCAAGAGCAGCAGAATGAGACATATCAGGAATGGCCTCACAACCTGGAATCTCATGTTAGAGAGGACTGAAAATTTGAATTTGTGATGGAAACCCAAGAGACCCCTTGTGGTTATCTCTGGCCTTACACACACACACACACACACACACACACACACACACACACACACACACACACTCGGGATAAGAAACAGGAAAATGACTCATCATGAAGGTCCTAAGAGAAAGTTTCAGGAATAGGGGCAGATGTCTTTAAGGGAGACCGTGAAGCACAAACACACAACTTCACCTGGCAGTCTGGAACTTTTGGGCCACCAACCAAAGATTTCATTTTAGGAGCTGGTGAGATGGTTTAGCAATTAGTATACTTGTTTATTTTGAAGAAGAAGACCCAGATTCAGTTCCATCCCCCACATGGCATCTCACAACTGTCTGTACTCCAGCTACAGGGCATCCAACACCCTCTTCTGACCTTTGCAGGCACCAGGTACACAGGTACATATAGGCAAAGCACTTGTACACATGAAACAAACATGGATAAAAACATAGCAAAGAGAAAAGAAAACAGAAGTCTCCTCAGGAGACCTAGACATGAGACATTTGGATATGTGAGTTCTGCAGAGCTCAGAACCAGTTAAAATACCAAGCATGTTCTTTGGACCCAACCCATTTGCACGGTAGTGGCAGAAAGGGAGCTAAGTAGGCCCATAAAACCTAACACTGGAAGGTAACCGAGCCGCCACCATGATGGGAGTGCTGTATCTTTAGCAGACTGGGGGCGGAAGGAAGGAAATGCCCCAGGAAACATTTCTGCATATTTCCACCCCCTCTTCTATGCAAACGTCATAAAACAGGAAACAAACTATTTCAAAGGATTACAGTTCAAATGCCTGAATCTAAAATGTCCAGTTCCACTAGGAGTCTTACACAGTCCAAGCATCAGGCTACTGAGCATGTGTCATGGGATGGGAAAAGCAGGGCTGAGCCCTGAAGAGCACTGAGTGGGGATGCTTCATCCCAAGGCCCTTCTTTCTCCCTTGTAACCCTGGACAACTCAGGTGGAGTGGGAAGAAGTGAGGGCTGGGAGGTGGGAGTCAGAAACAATCGTCACAACAAAGACACCGTCAAATGCATCCCAATGAACTTGGCTGGAGCGGCTCGGAGCATCCTAACACATCAGCCTACTTCCGGTCATTTTCTTCCAAACTGACACTTCAACCTTCTGATCTAAAGAGAATGGAAAAGGCCAGGCTTCAAGGAGCACTAGTTCACCGTTTAAGACTTTCATTCAGTGTGTGTGTGTGTGTGTGTGTGTGTGTGTGTGTGTGTGTGTGTGTGTGTGTGTGTGTGTGTTTCTGTTCCTCTTAGTGGAGGTCTGAAGCATCTTGAGTTTGGTCCACCTTACTCCCTTTTGGAGTGCTCCAAGTCATGGGTATGAGCACAAAGAAGGGAGCTGGCACCTTCCAAAGATAGGGACTGTGGTGCCACTCATGTGAGGCAGTGACCAGATAACAATGGCAAGTCCTTACCCCCAGACTCTACAAGTCCCAAGATGAGGAGTAAGCTGTGGTTTATAAGAGAGTCCCTCAGTGGGTCCATAAGTACTTAGGACTGGAAACTAAACTGGAGACCCTAGAGTGCAGAGGAAGGATGCCAGGGATCCTAGAGCATGCCTCCACTCAACTTCTGCACAGTGAGTACCAAGGGAGTTTACAGGAGGGTCGCCAGAAAAACCCTCAAGACTTGAGGGTCTTAGGAGCCGAGAAGGATGCTAACCGGTCCAAGCAGGGACCAGGAGCCGAGCATTCACAGGAAGGTGATGTCCTGAGAGGAGAAAAAGGGAAGATGAGTGCCCAGCAGAGACAAGCGTGACTGGGACCCTGGTGGACACTTTGTGAAAGAGGCCACATCCCCAGAAACCATCATGAGTCGTGGAGCCACACTGACCAGATTCAAGCTCTGGCCCCATAGTGACCTCAGGACTTCGAGCTAGATTTCCCCTCCCACATGTTGCCTACATCCACCCCTGCAGGCCGTATCGAGAGAAGTTATTAATAGCTACCCCT